TTTTTCGAAAGAATGAACTAACTTTATACTATTAGAAACAGAAAAATGGTTACACAGGACTTGCAGTTGACATTAGTGAGGTATATTTTAGCGCATTTATACATAGCAACGCAATGCTCGACTTACAAATATAGACACACTAGTCTGGTTTAAGCTGCCTCGGAGGATAGAATCTCGAGTTCAGCCCACCAGAGAGGAGATAGCCTTGGAACTGCAGCCTCAGGTGATATATCAATCGCTTCCCTTAGCTTTTTAATGACTTCCTTTATAGTTGGTCTTTTCCTTTGATCTTCTCGAAGACATTCTCTGATTACCTCACATATAACCATAAGCTCATTATTTTTGAAGGACTTCAATGTTGGATCAACCAAGCTGCTCAGATTCTGCTTATCATTAAGGTATTGCTCCGCCTAAACACAAGAAGGGATTAACAAAGTTTCACTACTCTTCTCGTTCAGGCTAGGGAACACGAGGTAGCTATCAATCTAACATAGAATTGAGATTTACCGAGTTCAAAAGAGACTCTCGTTCTGAGTAAGGCGACTTTCCAGAAATTACTTCCAGCAACAAGATCCCAAAACTATAGATATTTGTGTCGGGATCAGCAAGTGGTGGCAGCTCAGAGTTTTCTATATCACCACTGGCGGACTTTGACTTGACTAGTATTTCAGACCAGAAAGCAAGCTCTGTAATCTGAGAAAACAAAAGTATTCTTTTAATGCAAGATATCACACAAAGTAAAAGTTCTCTTAATTCCACGTCGTATATGAAGTTTCTTGTTGACATATATAGGATATATGGAAATATGTATTCGTAATGAAGCACACCTTAGCAGCATAATCGTCAGTAAAAAATATGGCCTGTGAATTCACATCAGAATGGTACAATGGAGGATTCAAATTGTGCATGTACTCAAGACAATATGCTGTCCCCATTATAGCTCTCATTCTTGAAGGCCAGTCAAGAGGGTCAGCTTCTTCAACTGAAACCACGAAATATGTTAGTTCGCATTACATAAAATCGCACTACCATCGTAAATGATTTAACTAATATTTGCACTGCTAACTAGTGTACCATGCAGATGCTCGAAAAGAGTTCCATTTGGAGCGTACTCAAAGACCATCATCCTTGTGAAAGGTTCATCTTCCTCACAGTATCCAATTAGATTAGTGAAATTCTTGTGGTTTATCCTTGAGAGTGAATCGATCTATCCGAGCGCACAATAATTAAACATCATATAAGTAAATGTACTTGAAAAGAAGTGAAGAGACAACGAGGATGTCACTACAGAAAGAGTGACACAAGTAAGAAATTACTGTAGCAGCTTTTTATTTGTGAAAGAGATGATAAACTAACCTTCTTCCTGAAGGCCAGTTCAGAACGCTTGGACCAATCTTTCAGAGAATTTATAGGAGTTGACACAACAGCAATCTCTACTCCACTGGATAGAGTTCCCTTGTAGACAGTAAATGTATCTTGATTGCAAATGATGTTGCTAAAATCCTCACATGCAGTTATAAGCTCGGACCTGTTTAGTTTTGGGACCCCTACAATTGTTTTCACGCACGAGACATGAGAAACAATATATGAGTACTAAATTACGCATTCACCTTCTTATGGTTGTCATCAAACAATATACATTTACGAGGGGAAGTGAGCTGAAGAAAGTATGCAGAATGACTATTCATAATTTCTAAGAAGTAAACGTGGAAATTCCAACCTACAAATGTTATCTCAAACAGGGCTGTAAAAAGTTAACTCACTCGTAGATTATCAACTCTGCCAATCCTTCCTACAGAAAAAATTAGAGGGGAATATATTCCTAACTCTCCCCTTATTGTCATTGCAAATGATAGTGAAAGAATCGAGGCTAAGAATACATTTTCTTTTCCCCAAAGAATAAAAATGTTAGTTCCCAATATTTCGAATTTGTGTCCCCATTATTTCGAATAACAGTCCATTCATAAAATCAATGCAGCCAATCAACTAGCTTGACTCCCACTCTAACACGTTAACTTCAAATTTGAGGTTGGAGCGGGAATTGGCATTACCAAACCCTAAAAGTGCTTCATACTTCACAACAGACAATGAACAGGAAGAGGACTAGGCTCCTGTCCAGGAAGCCTCAGAATGGGCTATCATATGCGTCAAAGGTTGGGATTATATTTGCCATAGAGAAATGGACACAACAGTTGAACTAGATCATATGGATATTGGACAGAATACCAGCAGTGTCATCACATCAGTTTTGACACAACATTAATCAAAAGTACCTGTAATAAATGCTTTCTGCAGCTGTCCACTCAATCCAGTCTTCCAAGGGCCTATTGTTTGCACAGCTTTGCTCTTGCAGATGAAGATCAGGCACACAAAAATAGCAACCAGAAAAACCCCAATGCCAATTCCTATATACTTCCATGTACTTGCAGATTTTCTACCAGGTGGGGCTTGACTAGCAGTTGGCTGTTTAACGGCACCATTAGAATGTCCCTGAGGAGTTTGAGGCTCATGCTGTCGAGGTGAGGATGGTATAATTGGAAGAGGAGGAGCTCCCACAGTATTTGGTACAGCACGAAAGGAACCACTACTTCTGCTGTTTGGCATAGGAACAACAGGTCCCAATGGTTTCCCTCCATTGGCAGGAACAGCAGCAAGGTTACTGGATTGTTCAACTAACTTACGACGTACAGTGTTTCCTTGGTTCTGTACGGCGTGGATGAAGTGAGGCCTTAGTGAACCTGCCAAACAAAAGAACATAACATATTCTTTTTGTGTACAATTCTTTGAAATTCCAATAAAAGGTGTCACATAAAATGATTTTCACTCACCTTGTAGGTTGTCAGAGCATAAGTCTGCATGATCACCCAAAAAGCCAGGGAACCTTTAGGAAACAAAATAATTGCTTCTGAACCGCTAAAATTTTAGAAAGCATAAAGGTGAAAGAAACCTATTTAGTTACTTACAGTGTGAAGAAACTAAGATAACACGTAAGCGTCCCTTTAATTGGTCTGATAAAGGAGCCTATGGTCTTAAATCGCCTCAAACTTCCACGCCTGATGCTGCCATCAAAAGGCAACAAATTTTCAGAGTGAAGCATGAAACACAAAGCATCTGACTGAGAAGTAAAATGAAAGCATATTAAATGGATGGTAATTTTCACACCAAGCTAAATGTTTTAGTAGTTAGTACTCTGACACCAGTTATAAATCTAAAACTTCGAAGTTACTTATCCAAGAGTGCCTAGATCACGAATTCAAACAGAGTCAACAGGACCAATAGAATACATTTTGTGCTTAGTTATAGTCAGCTGAATTCTTCATGTTGCAAAACAGGCATACTATAAAATAAAGTGTTCTTCTGCTCAGGGCAAGGACTAGTTGCATACCTAGCAATTTTAGTTGACAATATACAGAAAAGTCAAGAGAATAAGAAATGTGCAATGAGACATAAACAGATGGTTATATTGATGAATGAGAAAATGTCACAGATAGATGGATCACAGCTAAAGAGACACTAAAATCCAATCCCCTCTAAATATTGTAGGGGCATCGAAGATGGTTTAGAGAAGGGAAGTGAAGAAACCAGCATGTGAGAAATGGAAGGAGGAATTTCCACATACTAGCGAAAATGCAATTGCACTCCTCGTCCTCACACGCCTAGCCACAGACTGGTGCAAGACACCTATTGCTATAAGATCTCAAACATACAACAGCGATATCGGAAACATGACAAAGCAGAAACCCAGATTCACAAAAAGCATGGGTGATGAAAGCATTGAGTTCCCCCATCAAGTCCAAGCTCTACTTCCAATTATCCAGATGTCATCCATCATCAATACTGTTAAGTTGTTCCCACTTCCCCATGCTATACAACAGCCAAAAGCTTGAATTCTAAAGAAAGTATGAGAGACTATTAGGGGCACTATCTGCATAGAAAATGTTCCAAAGATCTTCACAGCCTCTCCAAAGGATAAGTTGTCATCGGTTGAATTTTACTAACGAACTTATTGCACGAGGCAGTGAGCCGCTTTTGAAAGACTAAAGCAGGTTATTATGAAAGTAGAAAATTGGCATATGTTTCTCAAATGGCTTGAATACAGATTTAATGCACTTGCAATATCATTAAACGTAGATACAACTTTAAAATATAGCACAACTGGAAGATGAAGATAAAAGGACAAACAACTAAAGGAGTCTTACCAATGCCCAAGTTTTCTGTTTATGCAGCCATTTCCGGAAGCAACTCCAGAGGTGAGGTAATCATCAAATTGAAATTCTGAGAGCAGATGAAGCTTCCAAATTTCCACAGGAACCTTCCCTTTGAAGTTATTGTCACAAATCAACCTGCGGCAAAAAGCATCAAGCACAATTCAAGAGCATTTTGTTGGCAATGTTTTTGCATACATCCATACAAACATATTTAAGCACACAGACACGACAAATTATCAGCTTACAATCTTCTAAGTGATTGCAAATCTCCTATTACTGCTGGAATTCTTCCACTCAACTTATTATCCCTCAAGTCAAGCACCTCCAGCATTCTGAGACGTCCAAATTCTTTAGGAATAGGACCAGAGAGATGGTTTTCAGAAAGCACACTGTGGACGAAAAGCATTCAGAGAAGAAGAAAATTTATTAAAATTCTAAAACAAGTTATACATAGTACATAGATGCAGAACAGTGGATGGTGAAGCTATGATTACCAGAAATCAACCCAATTACTCTTTGTAAAAAAAGTAAAAGGAAAAAATCTACCCAATTACTTTCGCACGTTTTCTTTGGCAAAAGAAATAAGGTAAAATTTTTATTTGGCAGACCTCCACTCCAATGTATATGACACTCTTTATATTATGAGACAGCTCCTAAGTAACAAATGGAAACAAAAATGGAAAACTGTACTAATATGTAAATTCGGTGCAATTTCAAATTGTATAGGGATAAGATAGTGTTAACCTAGATCGGGAAGTATTAGTTCCATGCACATAGCACACTAGATATTGTTCTTAGACTAAAACCAGATCCATGTAAGTATAGCTGAAGCTTACAGTGATTTTAAGTGAGTGAGATTTCCAAGTTCTGGTGCGAGTATTCCTTTCAATGAATATCCATGAAGGTCCCTAAACAGAGAACAGACAAACAATTCAACAATATATGAAACCCCACAAACACTAAAACCCACAACCAGAGGCGGATGTAGCATAACATCGACGGGTTCAATTGAACCCATAACTTTTGACGCGGAACATAAATTTATATGTAAAAATTTATTAAAATTGCAATAACGAGTAGGCATGAACCAATAACTTTAGAAATATAATGGGTTCAATACTAAAAATCTTAAATGTTGAACCCATTAAGTTTGAATCCTAGATCCACCTCTGCCCACAACTCAGTGTTTTCACTTTGATTGTCATTATCATTTCAACAGACTTGTTGACAGCAAAGCAACAAACACCAACGAACAGATAGCATTACGGAATTTTGGGTATGTGTGACAAGGGACTTACAACATTTGCACTTTACCATCCTTACACTGGACACCAGACCACACGCATGGGTCACACTGATCTGGGTTCCAGTTTTCAAGAATGCCATATGGATCAGAATCCACTTTCACTCGGAATCTCAGTAATGCCAATCCTGTTTCTCACACCAACAATAGTCAGCAAACAAGAAACATACCAAACACTTGCTGTCCAAGTATAAGAATTACCTTCAGAATTAAGAGAACAACAACCGCGAATGTCTAAAACGATAATCAAAAGAGCAAGATACGATAACTTGATTCCATATGTATTCCATCTACCCCCCATGGCTTGCAGAACAATATGTATCCGTGGTTAAGGCAGTAACAATATCTGCTAACACTATACAAAGTGCCACACTCTCCAAGCAATTGAAATCACTCGGGCCCACGAAATAAGTTATAAAAAAACAAGAGCAAGTACACCACTATTTGCTTATCTATAAAACTTCTACACTATTCACAAACTATATTACAAAATAAAGAAAAAATATTAACCATATTGATAGAATTGACAAAATTGGGGTCTCTCATTTTTCTAAGTTTCTAAAGCTTAGGCTACAACAACACCTCCAATTTCACCAAATAATGACACAAACTCAGGGTGATGAATCTCTAAAGCTTAGGCTACAACAACACCTCCAATTTCACCAAACAATGACACAAACTCAGGCTGATGAATCTCCAAAATTCAACCTCTATCTCCAAAATTCAACCTTTATCTGGAAAATGCATAGGTAGAATAGCAAATAATCAGTAAAAATTGTTTCTTGAAAAGGGGGTGGCAAAAAATAGGAGTATTTCACAAGCCAAACCATAAGAGGGGGGGGGGGTAGGGGGGAAGGAAAAGATGATCGAGAGAATAACTATATTGCAAGCAATCAAACAAAGAAAACAAAATACCA